TCTACAGTTTTTCGTTTTTGAATAACATTAAAATAAGAATACCTATCGGTACACGAGAAATTTAGAGTAGGCTTCTAATATATTGTCACAATGGTAATGAAAAAAATATTAAAAATACACATGGTCACAAATTTTTTTTAATAAGCATTGAAAGTTTAAATTTTGACAAAATACGTAAAAATCACGGAAATTTAAATTTATTTTGAGTTACAAAATCATAAAAATGTTATCTTTTTGAATCTAAGATTTGAAAATTCAATATAAAATTCTTCGAGAGTTTGTCTACTTATATCAAATAAAAAATGTTTATCGGAAARTCAAATTAAATTTTTATGAACATTTGAATTATACTTTGGATATGAATATCCACTCAATTTGTACCGATATTCTTAATTTGTTGTTATTCAAAAACGAATATTTRTAGAAACTTTAAATTTTCACCATATGTTTATTTTATCAATTCCTATACTTGATAAATTTTTCAAAATATTTCAACCATTTTTAAGTTATTTATAGACATTTGAAATTTTATTCATTGCAGAATCAAAAATTTTGAAAATTTAATACAAGGCTCCTAATATATTGTTACAATGCTAGTTGAAATATATTAAAAATACATAGTCACATCTTTTTTTTTAACTGTTTAAATTTCGAATTTTGACAATAAATTAATTGAAAATTTATAAATTCTTTAGTCGTTCAAAATTAAAAATAAGATTTAACTTTCATAGCTAAGTATTGAAAATTTAAAACAAGGTTCCACGTAAGTAGTTAACTCTACGGCAAAAAAAAAATCTAAAAATTATATAAACACAGTTTTTTTTATAGTTATTTTAAGTTCAAATTTGGATGAAATTACATGTTAAATAATTAAGAAAAATTTTTTAATTATATTGTTGTAATTTAAAAATGAATGTGTACATAATGAATCTAATTCGATTAATTTGAAATTAATAAATATTATAAATTTTATAATTATTTAAATTAATTTACAGGTACATTTTTTTTTCCTGAAATAATAGTAATATAATTATTAATTAATATATTATAAACAATACAATATTCTAGACTGACAAACCGTCTCCGTTCAAAATCGTTTTTCGTATTCAACGAGATTTTATGTCATTGAATTAAAATTTAACACCATCCATTACAGGGACCCACTGTTAAAGTTGTAACCTATTGTATAAAATGATTTTTTAGTAATTAATAAATGTTTTTTTCCATAGATATTTATCAACTGGTCTTTCTTTTCGGAACCTTGCTTTTTCAATGCGAATGGGTGCATGCACTGTTGCTAAAATTGTTCACGAGACTTGTCTAGTTATTTGGGAAGAACTCGTAAATGAATTTATGCCAGTTCCTACAAAAGAACATTGGGAAAAAGTTAGTTTAGATTACAATGACAAATGGGGCTTTCCAAATTGCATTGGCTCTATAGATGGMAAACATTGTCAGATTAAATGTCCCAAAAATKCAGGTTCAAGTCACTTCAACTACTTAAAATATTTTTCACTAGTTTTACAAGGAGTTGCTGATGCGGATAAAAAATTTATAATAATTGATGTTGGTGCCAGAGGTAAACAAAGTGATGGTGGAACTTTTGCATCTTCTAAAYTTTGTAATTTAATAAGCAATAATAATTTGAATGTATCACCAGAAAAACATTTACCTGGTACAAATATTAAAGTACCCTATGTTTTGATCGGAGACGAAGCTTATCCATTAAAGCAGTACTTAATGCGCCCATTTCCATCTCGAGTACTAAATCCAGCACGGGAATATTTCAATGAAAGATTATCAAGAGCACGCAAGTGCATTGAATGTACTTTTGGAATTCTGCGCGCAAAATGGAGATTACTAGGGAAGGACATAGAAGTGAGCCCAAAAAAAGCAGTAGTAATTATTAAATG